GATAATGTTCATATTTTAAGACCTTTTTAAAGGATAACAATCCCTTAAAATTGACCCAAGACCTATGAAAGCCATTCCTGAATTTTTTCCCTCCCCACGACCTTAATTTCTCAATTAAAGTGAGAATAAATTCAGGGGTGATTTTTAAGCTGTTTGAGAAGTTTTAAGGGCTTTTCATCAGTTTAATCAAAGAAATAATCCTTTAAAAACCCATTAACTTATCCGTTCATTAATCCCAAATTTGGGGTGAACCCCTCAATTTGTACCCAAAGTGAAAAATTAATGTACAAATTAAAGATTACCTATGATGTCATATTTGAATGTTTAAACAGTTTATAATCTTTCCCTTCTAATACATTTAAAAACCCAATCTTTGGACACCAGACACATGTTCTGACATGAACTTTTGTATCTCTACTGCAATTTAAAATTAAGTTCTGCAGGTTTGTTGAAGGAATCGGTGGAGAAACGTTTAACACAATAAAACGTTAAGTTATTTTTAACTTAAAAATTCCATTAATTCACTAATTATATAATAATGTAATTGAGGCCTTTTTAATTATTTAAGGGGATAGATTGATGGACTGTTACATATATTAAGGTTTTTCCAGTGGATGTTGCAGAGTTCTAAAGGCTTTTTGAAATTTAGTCACCCCTTAATCTCCCCTTAATTTAAAAATGTGGTCTTTTAAGGTAAAAATTGAAATGAAGCTTCAGAGACAAGGTATTTGGTAAATTTTAAGGGATTTTCAACACTAAGATGATCCATTCTAAACCCCATATGAAAAATGTACAGTTCTTACATCTTAAAAGTCCCTTAACTACTCTAATAAACTACAGTTCATAAGTTGATCTCAGATCTGCATTTATTATTTTGTAAATTTTAAGAGCTTAAAACCCTGAAGAAACCATTTAATGTACTGCAGTCTATTAATTTACTACTAATAAAGATATTGATATGTTAACAAAAGTCCCTTAAAATCTCTAAAAATATTTTTGAGATCTGACGTTAACTGAAATCATTTTTCTTTTTTTTTTAGATATTTTTAGGGCATGTTTTTGCCTTTAATTGATAGGACAGTGAAGTGTGAAGGGGAGAGAGAGGGAGTGACATGCAGCAAAGGGCCACAGGCTGGAGTCGAACCCAGGCTGCTGCGGCAACAGCCTTGTACATGGGGCGCCTGCTCTACCACTGAGCCACTGACGCCTCTGAAACCATTCATCTTCAAATATACCTTAAAGTTATCATTAATGGATTTATCAAATATATTTAAGTGTTGTAAATCTACTTACTTTAAAAGCTCTTAAAACAAATGAGCTTTTGGTTTTAAAACTTTCAAAATAAAGGTGTTTTTAAGGGGTTTAGTTTTTCAAATTAATGGACACATTTTCAGATGGTGATAAGTTAAAGGGATAGTGCACCCAAAAATGTAAATTCAGCCATTATCTACTCACCCATATGCCGATGGAGGCCCTGGTGAAGTTTTAGAGTCCTCACATCACTTGCAGAGATCGGCGGGGGCAGTGGCTAGCACACCTAATGGCTGACGGCGCCCCAGACTAACGTCCAAAAACACATAATTGAAACCACAAAATATCTCCATACTGCTCATCCATAGTGATCCAAGTGTGCTGCAGCCCCGACATAAAAAGTTGTTTCAATAAACGTCATATGAACTCTGTTTTTAGCCTCACTGTAGCCTGTAGCTCTGACTGCTTCTCTGTGCTCCGCGCTCACGTGTGTGCGCTCAGGGTGATCGGTGATGCACGGTCTCTGAAGAGCAGCAGTCTCGTCAGTACTGATGTCCAGATTCTCAAGTGCAGGCATCGCCAATTCCCAGTCTGAGCAGCAAAGACTTTCCTCATCCGTTGGCATTGCTTTGCATTTGAAACAACTACACCACCAGGTTTCCAGTGCTCGACTCCGGTATTCTGCGGCTGGCTGAGGGTTAGGCTCATGAGCTGCGGCGGCTGCTTCGTCCAGTAGCCTGAGTTCCGTCCGTGTACTCGGGCTCAAACAAACACGGCTCAACAAAGAAATTTCAAAGTCTTTAGACATGTTGGGCTGTCCTTTGCTAAAAGACCGTAGTCAATCAGTTTTATTTATAAAGCCCAATATCACAAATCACAATTTGCCTCACAGGGCTTTACAGCATACGACATCCCTCTGTCCTTATGACCCTCACAGCTGATCAGGAAAAACTCCCCAAAAAAAACCTTTAACGGGGAAAAAAAAATGGTAGAAACCTCAGGAAGAGCAACTGAGGAGGGATCCCTCTTCCAGGACGGACAGACGTGCAATAGATGTCGTACAGAACAGATCAACATAATAAATTAACAGTAATCCGCATGACACAATGAGAGAGAAAGAGACAGAGAGAGAGAGATGCAGGTAATGACAGTAGCTTACAACTGTGTGCAAATTATCTTTTAGCTCTGTGGTTACTGTTGTCTCTCCCTGCGGTGCACGTGTCACGTGATGTAAACACGGGTAAACAAAGCTCATGCTTTCGCTGGTCTCGCACAAGCGCGCACACGTGAGCGCGGAGCACAGAGAAGCAGTCAGAGCTACAGGCTACAATGAGGCTAAAAACAGAGTTCATATGACATTTTTCCAAACAACTTTTTATGTCGGGGCTGCAGCACACTTGGATCACTATGGATGAGCAGTATGGAGATATTTTGTGGATTCAATTATGTGTTCTTGGACGTTAGTCTGGGGCGCCGTCTGCCATTAGGTGTGCTAGCCACTCCCCCCGCCGATCTCCGCAAGGGATGTGAGGACTCACCAGGGCCTTCATCGGCATATGCGTGAGGAGATAATGGCTGAATTTACATTTTTGGGTGCACTGTCCCTTTAAGGAGATACTTTTTTAACTTATCAAAATTGTCTTTTTCAAACCTCGAGAAGAATTTAAACTCAAAAAGACTTGGTGCTGCGATGTGTTTTTGCTCGACAGATCGTCACGCACCTTGATTTCATTTCATACCTGTCAGTCTGACTTCCTGTCCCACCTCCCCTCTCCATCTCTGTCCAATCAGGAGAAGCGGATCGGCTCCCTGGACGCGGCGAACTCGCGGCTGATGGCAGCGCTGACGCAGGTGAAGGAGCGCTACAGCACGCCCAACCTCCGCAACGGCCTGTCACCCACCAACCCCACCAAACTGTCCATCACTGAGAACGGAGAGTTTAAGAACAGCAGCTGCTGACTGGTTGACCAGGACAACAAGAGGCGGAGCTTAAACTCTTAAAGCTGCAGCCCTGCGAACGATCAGAGCGAGAATCTATAAATACGAGTGTAAATACTGAAGGTTTGATCTGTTAAGTGTACAGAGTGTGTGTGTGTGTGCGTGTGTGTGCGTGCGTGTGTGTGTGCGTGTGCGTGCGTGTGCGTGCGTGCGTGTGTGTGCGTGTGTGTGCGTGTGTGTGCGTGCGTGTGTGTGTGTGTGCATGTGTGTGCGTGCGTGTGTGCGTATGTGTGTTCATTGTCACAGAAGCACAGTGAGGAAGAAACAAACCAAAAACTAAAAACGCACTCGAGTTTTCTAACCACCTTTTTTTTATCGTTTTTATTTGAACTTTTTTTTCCTTGAGGAAAGCTGAAGTTGATTTTTGATTGATTTTATTTTATTGTTTTATTTTTTAGAGTGGAGTTTTGTTTTTTTTTACCTGACGAGTTGTTTTTGGGTTTTAATTTATTCCTCCACGTCGTCTCCCTGTTGCTGATCTACTGAACAGACTCCTGTAGGATCAGGGTCAAAGGTCGCACACCTGTCTGCTGTCCCACATTGAGAATAAAAGCTGCCTGAAAGTTGAGTGTGTTCTCATTTATATCGTCTCCATGGAAACTGTCAGTTAATAGTTTACCAGCTTGTACACAGTCGGGCACTTTACACGTCAAAGTATACTCTTTTTTTTTTTTTTAAGATGTCACTGTTTTGATTGGTGATCATTAACTGAAGTTATTTTTCAAGAGGTGCCGGTTTGTCTCAGAATTTTTGTTTGATTTTGCTGTAAATAAAAATTTCTGTGTTTTAGACTGTTGGAGATATTTAAAGACGTCACCTTAAATTCTGGTGAAATACAAAGAATATTTTGCACTGTTTTTTTATGTTTTATAGACAAAAACATAAAATAATCTGCAGATAAGAGTCAGTTGCAGGTCAAAACTGTTTTCATTTTTATTTAGAACTAAGTGAAAATTTAAAGCGTCAGCTGATTCATAAAGAATAAAGACGTAATCATATGAACAAGTTTTTTTTTTAAGTAAGTAGAAACAATTAGTTAAAGGAGCCGTTTGACAGACAATTAATCTGCAACTGTTTTAGTCATAAATTAATGGTTTCAGTCATTTTTCAGGAGGAAACATTTGGTTTCCAGCTTCTTAATTTCTGCTTTATCTTTAAATCTAATATTTCTATCTGAAGGAGTCGCACTGAAAGTGAAGAAAGGAAAAAAATGTGACATTTTCTGATGACTGAAGACCACGTGATTATTTATTAAGAAAATAATCTTCAGATTAAATAAATAATAAAGTCGTCGCTTGTCAAAGAGGTTTGAGTGAATGAATTAACGAATTAAACTTTGATTTCAGATAGAAACGATGAATGTTTCAGATGATCAGAGATTCAGACGTGAAATGTAAGTTACTTCACTACTTTTAGGTCAAACTTTTACGTCTAGCTTCTTACATAACTACTGAATCTTCAAAATATTGTAATTTTTACTACATTATTTACGAGTTGTATTTATCCCACTCTGCAGATAAAATATAATTCACTGTAGATTTATAGGTTTCAGATGAGAATGTAATTTCAGTTCAGTGAAAGCCATGAACCGCCTCAAGCACAGACCACTTAAGGTTGTTTGAAATCAATGGATGAATATATTTGAGGCTACAAAACACCTTAATTAAAATAAAGATGTTTGTTGTTTTTAAGGTTAAACAATTTTTTTGTTTTTTAAGTGTGTTTTTTACATTTATTTTGAAAGACACCACCGGAAGTCACGTGTCTTCCTCTTCAAATGCACTAACTGTATGTGACTGTTCAGGTGAGTTAACTCGGTCACTGCCCGGTGTGTTCCTCTGTGCTCTGCTATTGTCCGCTTGGTCTTTAACTGGTTGTCCTGCAGGTGCGTGGTGACGTCACCATGGTGCTCAGGTATCTGCTGTCCGCGCTGGTGAGGAAAGCTCAGGTGGTGGAGAAACTGTCGGAGTCTCTTCCGGTCCGCAGCGCGGCGCGGCTCACCGCCCGGGCCGCTCTGGGAGCGCAGCAGGTCGGTAAGGACGCGGCGGGCCGGGCGCTCCGGTCCCGGACGGTCCAGCAAATCCGGCAGGAGGCCTCCAGGGCCCCGGGAGGACTGGGAGACCTGAGCAGGAAGGCCCGGAGGATCCGAGACTCCCTGCTGGAGGACGTTAAAGACGGTGTTACCGACGCGTCCCGACAGATCAAACACAGGAAAAGATGATGTCGTTTGTTCCATGAAGCTTCAAAATAAAAGTCTCTGAGGGACAAAATAAACTCTTTTCTAATGAAAATATTCTCCACTAACATGTCGTCTGTTTCACCACAGTTACAACTGTTGTGATTATATGCAGGAGGCCAAATCAGACTACAGTGTATGATGAAAAAAATATTTAAAGTGACACGATGAATTGTTCATTTTTGAGTCAATACAACATGTAATAAAACTGTCATGAAATAAAATCTTATAGTGTAATTCAAATAGTGAATTTAATTTTAATGGAAATATATCTACATATAAGTCTTACAAATACAATAATCATGATTCTACGTCGTAAACCTGTGTATTATAATCAAATATTAAAAATATGTCAACTATGTTATGTCATCCAAAATTATGAAAAAAAGTCATAGTATATCATGTCATCAAAAATCATGAAAAAATCATTAAAAAAAAGTCATAGTATAGCATGTCGTCCAAAACTCACGAAAAACGTCATAATATAGTATGTCGTCAAAAATCACGAAAAACGTCACAGTATAGCATGTCATCAAGAATCACGAAAAACGTCATAGTATAGCATGTTGTCAATAATCATGATAAAACGTCATAGTATAGCATGTCATCAAGAATCACGAAAAACATCATAGTATAGCATGTCATCAAAAATCACGAAAAACGTCATAGTATAGCATGTCGTCCAAAAATCACGAAAAACGTCATAATATAGTATGTCGTCAAAAATCACGAAAAACGTCATAGTATAGCATGTCATCAAGAATCACGAAAAACGTCATAGTATAGCATGTTGTCAATAATCATGATAAAACGTCATAGTATAGCATGTCATCAAGAATCACGAAAAACATCATAGTATAGCATGTCATCAAAAATCACGAAAAACGTCATAGTATAGCATGTCGTCCAAAAATCACGAAAAACGTCATAATATAGTATGTCGTCAAAAATCACGAAAAACGTCATAGTATAGCATGTCATCAAGAATCACGAAAAACGTCATAGTATAGCATGTCGTCAAAAATCACGAAAAAAAGGTCATAGTATTGCATGTCGTCAAAAATGACGAAAAAACGTCACAGTATAGCATGTCGTCAAAAATCACGAAAAACCATCATAGTATAGCATGTCGTCAAAAATCACGAAAAAACGTCTAAGTACAGCATGTCGTCAAAAATCACGAAAAAAACGTCATAGTATAGCATGTTGTCAAAAATCACAAAAAACATAGTACAGGATGTCGTCAAAAATCATGAAAAAAAGTCATAGTATAGCATGTCGTCAAATATCACGAAAAAACGTCATAATATAGCATGTCGTCACTAATCACGAAAAAACGTCACAGTATAGCATGTCGTCAAAAATCACAAAAAACATAGTATAGCATGTCGTCAAAAATCATGAAAAAATGTCACAGTATAGCATGTCGTCCAAAACTCACGAAAAACGTCATAATATAGTATGTCGTCAAAAATCACGAAAAACGTCACAGTATAGCATGTCATCAAAAATCACGAAAAACGTCATAGTATAGCATGTTGTCAATAATCATGATAAAACGTCATAGTATAACGTCATCAAGAATCACGAAAAACGTCATAGTATAGCATGTCATCAAGAATCACGAAAAACATCATAGTATAGCATGTCATCAAAAATCACGAAAAACGTCATAGTATAGCATGTCGTCCAAAAATCACGAAAAACGTCATAATATAGTATGTCGTCAAAAATCACGAAAAACGTCATAGTATAGCATGTCATCAAGAATCACGAAAAACGTCATAGTATAGCATGTCGTCAAAAATCACGAAAAAAAGGTCATAGTATTGCATGTCGTCAAAAATGACGAAAAAACGTCACAGTATAGCATGTCGTCAAAAATCACGAAAAAACATCATAGTATAGCATGTCGTCCAAAAATCACGAAAACGTCATAGTATAGCATGTAGTCAAAAATCACAAAAAACGTCATAGTATAGCATGTCGTCAAAAATCACGAAAAAAC